TCCACTGTATGATGAAGTGGAAGTGGCTTTCACATCGCTCCCTGGTGGCCTCACTAAGGAACTATTAATCTATGGCTCTCCATATTGCATTCAGACCCGCCTTCCCCAGCCACCACCTGGCCTGAAGTAAAGGCCAGAAGAGGGCCCAGAGGAATGGACAGTCTCTTATTATGAGCTACACCAAGACACCTCTGGGTTTCTAAGCACTTCCTCTGACAGTGACTGATGGCCAATTAACCATTTGAAGAAGAGTATTGATCATTTGGAGAACAGGAAGGAGCTGGAAAGTGGAAACATCTCCTAACATACCACTATTCTCACTGTACAAACTCAGCAGCTGGACAGCACATCATGGATACTATAGACAAACACAAGAAAGTATTTTCACATACCGTATCTAAGACTAGCACACACCAAATGTCCACCACCTTTATTTTCTAGTTGGCAAAATCATGGTCAAGAGATCCGGGGGAAGGAAACTACCGCTGAGTGTCTGTTGGCAGCATTAAGATTGTCCATTGTGACTAACTTCCAGACATTGCCCTCAACCTTCGCATGAGCCATTGTTGTGTGCTTAAGTGAATTTTTTTTTTTCCCCAGCAAGAAAACGCAGCATCCTAGTTTCAAGGTCGGTATTGCATGTTCTTCCTCACCACGGGAGTGTAAGAGAGAAAGGGATAACCCAGGGAAAAGAACATTTGATTAGACCCTCCAGGGAAAGACTCAAGAACAAGCTCATCCCGACTTCTCATTGGTGGCCTTTGGATATACGAGGCTGGTCGCTGGCATGGGATGGTTAGAAGCAGCAGACACAGAACAGCAGAGATTGAGGGCAATCTCCCAACTGCTGATACAATGTCAGATCCTGTGCCCTCCTATGAATTATGGTCCAGGTTCCCATTGAGACGTAGGGTAATCTCATCCCACATCAGAGGTGAAAGGTCGATTTTATGCTGCCTAGATAGAAAAGCACTGATAGGGACTATGGTGCACTGCATTTCAGGCAGGAAACAGCCCAACTTCAACCCCTAAGCGCTCTCACATAGAACTGAATCATAGAAATGGGGTAATTGAAACAAAAGGGCAGAGTTTGACAGAGATGTAGTGCCTTTGCAGGGCCTCTGCACAGACTGCAGAAAATAACACCTAACTCCTCCCCTCTGCGAGGTTCATCCTCCGTGTGTCCTCGGCCACGGCTGTGTCCTTCCTTTACTCCTCAAGATTGCCATTTGCAAATGATAAGCATAGGGACATAGCCTTCTGAAAGATAAGGCACCCGGGCATTTGTCACCAAATGGAGCGTGCTCCTCCATTGTTTAAAGCTGACCTGTGTTGACATCCACTGTTTACCTTTTATTCATTTATGCTGAACTATTATCTATGCCTCCATTAATCACACTGACTCTAACTGAAGAAACTACATTTGGCAAAACTTGGACAGGAAGCATATTCATTTAATTCATCTGTATTCTTTCGAGCAAACAAATTAACATGATGGAAAGAGTGAAAAAAAAAAGCAATATATTTGATCAGCTCTGTCCTGCAAAGAAGCAATTCGAACTCAATTTTTCATTGTGATATTGTCCAATTCAAATTCTGTAAGCAGCCTCCTTGAATGATATATACTGCAGTTGATCGCGCTAATTTACTGGGTGAGTATCAGCAGTTGAGAAAATAAATAATTTTATATAAAATTTCCCTCCCCCAGTGCACAACATTCTTCCCGTTGTCTGTGTCATTTGAATTCATCTCCCATGACTAGAGGGAACAAAAACTCTTTCTGGTAGTAAATTATCACTTGCCTGTAAAAGACTATATCCCTGCAAATACATGGCGATCATTTGCCATGCATTAGCTATGGGACAGAAACGAAGTGGTTTTAAATTCCTTTGACCAGAAGGCAATTTCCCCCAATAAATTATGTTAATTTCAGCTTTCGCTCTCCTTATCGCATTCTTTAGTGAGTCAATGAGACAAAACTGGGTGCAAGAAAGTCAACTCTGGGATGATTCATATTAGAATGATGAGAGACATCTGGCAAAAGAATCCCTTATATTACTGTAATAAGAAATGGGATGTCACAAATGACTGTATTATGCAACAGGTTTCTGCTTGTTGTCATTTAATGGCCATCTCCTTGCATCATCACAAGGTTTACACCCCGTGGAAATTGCTCTGAGGTGACTGTTCACACAAGTAGGAAGGTGCCTGATACCAAATCCCATGCTCCCTCACTGAACCAGACAACAATTGCTTGGCAACACTCTCACTGGGCAGAGGGAAAAACAAAGAAAAGTCAGGGATTTTTATTCCTTCTGCATTGATAGCTGCATTTTTGATTATCTTTTCTTGATGAGGTAACAACAGGGCTAACAACAGTCAACAGACTAACAGGCAAGTTTAAATAAATGGGAAACAAGAGGAGCAACAGGGTTGAATAATCTGCAGAAATACACCTAACACAGGCAGCAGAAACGCATGTATGCAAATTTGTGTTCTGCTTCGCCTGCGTGTGCAGGCACACAGTGCAGTACAGTTCTTAGTTCCTGAGGCTGAAAGCACACCTACCCCCTCTGTCCTGTCCAGTCCATCAGATCACTCACAACCCAGTGAAAGAGAAAGTGCTCAGCTAGCTCAAATCTAGATTGACAGGCCTACCTTTATTACTGACTGAGTTATGTTTCTCTGCAAAACAGACAAGTCGGCTTTTGATACCGATGAATGCAGAGTCAGCACCTTGCCTCTCTACACAGGATAACTTGACTGATCTCAGCTGAGACTGTCCCAGCCCTGATGTAGAAAGAATTGGCTACCAAATTACTTTCCAATCCATTTCTGGAACTCACTCTGTCCTATAAAAGTAGACTGTAAGCTGTGATGGGAGCTTATAAGGATGCTTATACTGACCTAATATATGACAGAATGTGACAGACTGAGACAAGGAGAAAGGGTCTGCCCAGAAATGTGATACAGAAGACAAAAAAGAATAAAACATGTTACCTACAACCCTGTATTCATCTATTCTCTGAACTGGCTTATTACTATTCAGGGTCACAGAAGGGCTGGGAGCATATCCCAGCATGCACTCTGTGAAAGGCAGGGAAACACCCTGGCCACATCGCCAGTCTATAACAGGGCAAACAAAGAAACACACACTGTATTACACCTATGGGAATTTAGAGCCTTAAAATCGACCTACAGCTGCGGGTGTTTGGACTGTGGGAGGAAACCAGAGCATTAAGAGGAAACCTAACGGACAAGGGAAGAACACGCAGCATCCACATACAACTGAAGCACCAAGTAACTTCTTGCTGTGAGGCAACATCACCCAACCACTGGAACACCACGCTATCCATATAACCCAGCAACCCAATCAAAATACATCAGTTTCAACATGCATCATAAAATGACTTGTAAATACCACCGCACTGCTACTTACTTAGCTTGATATATGAGGTCCCTGGAGCACGACTGTTTATTTAATCCTAATATATTCATAATTATACGCTAATTAATGCAAGAGAAAAGCCCTCTTAATTCATCATCTCAGTGTCCTGAAGCAAGAGACACAATTACACCAACTTTAACATGTTTGCCTTCTGTCCAAAGCAAGGTTAACAGTTTGGAAACAAGCACAAGGCAAATGATGTGTGAAATTCTCCTGTTCTGGATACTCACCAGCAGCTTCCAGCTGTGTGGCATTGTGGGGATGATATTTCGCATTAGGGAGAATGAGTGAATAAAGTGTTTTGAAAAGTAGTCTAAATGCTAAACTGTGAAATGGTGAGTAATGGACAACATGGAAACTGATTGCATTGATCAAATCATAGATTTGAATGTTAGATGACCTGCAGGACTGTGCATTGTACCGCCTGTAACATTAAGGGTCAATGACCAGCTCCTCTAATTATAGATATTAAAACATAATTTGCACCAGTATTATTATTAATAATAATATTACTTTGAGGATATTTGATGTTTGAAATGAAAAATCTAGCTGAGCAGAAAGGAAAATCTGAAACTGCATTACAGGCTATCTCACAAATGGCTTATTTGCTGCTACTGAGGGAAACTTATCTCTAGTCTGAGTACTTGCTCACCCCACTGTTGGTGATTGTTTTGTACATCAAAGCACATTTGCATGCAATCGGGAGTGTCTGGCCAAGAGGCTACATCATAAAATGTAACTCATCAGTGCGAGTAGGTCGTCTACCAACTCCGTAAAGCTGTCACCATACTGCAAATGCAGCAGGAACGAGTCCTGGCCAGAGAGAAACGTGGAGCTGAATGATCCTGTTTGCAGCCAGCAGAGCCCCCGATTAGATGGAGGGATACAGGCACGGAATACACGGTTTGTCCGGTCCTGCTCGTAGCTCCACATCTCAAAGATTAGCGAGGAGATACTCTGCTAATATTAGAATTAGTCTCGCAAAAAAAAATGAAGTGAAGGTTGTTTATGTGACTGCATAAAAAAGAAGCTTTATGTTACTGAGCATTGCCTTTTATTATCCACGGGCCCGTCTGTTAAAACACCTCTTATAGTGCAGGTTGGCGCTTACTCCTTCCAAGCAGGTGTAACTTCCCTCAGTCACGACAGTAGTACGGATAAAATACATGCTACAGACTTCATGGCGCTGCTTCAAATAAATACATGTAGCAACATTAGAAAGCTGGATAATAAGAGAGGCTGTTCAAGTTTTAACCTTGGTAGACATGTTAGAAGCTACACACTCTCCCGAGTAACCTTGAAGGTGCAGGCTAATTGACGAGTGTTAGTGCTAGCAAATTATAGAACAATAACCACTGCCAACAACGTGCTCCGTCACGCGGGGCTGCATTTCGTAAAAAAAATAAAATAAACCAAAAAAAAAAATAGAAGCAACATGGGCAAACAACTTGGCACGTGCAGCATTTTTTGTCTACTTACTGTGGTTTTTCCTCACACGAAAAACCTAAAATAAAATAATTAACCAAAAGCACAAAATGATAGTGTAACTCACCAGTGCAGGTGAAGCCAGCGAAGACGAGCCAGAGCACATGGAGCGTAGCGCTGAACCTACAGCGGACAAAGGGGCCCAGAAGTAAGGGCATCTTCGTGTTTTCTTTTCTTTCTTTCTTATCACCTAAGTTTGAAAATAAATCAAGGAGCAGAGAAGAAACACTGGCACACTGGGCTTGTTCAGGTCCGGAGAGAGTCCTCTGTAGCAGTAAACGCCTTTTTTTCACAACGCCCAAGTCTTTTCCTCAACACATATCCTCCTGCCGTACCGTGGCCATCAGTATCCCGGTCTTGCGTCTTCGTTGCTCAGAACAACGCATCACAGGTGTGGTAAATAAAGTGCTGCCTCGCTCTCCGCCGCGGGTTTCACTGTCGGCTTTACTGTATTTTTCCAAAGCCGCCGTCCGCTCACAACTCTCCCTCTCTCACTGAGCCGAGGAGTGAGGCAGTTTCTTGTCACTTTGGAGCCTTCGCGCGAAAGAATACCTTCTCCAAATGCGAAAATTGTAAGAATTGGCATCAGAGAAAGAACATCTGCTTGCACAGCAATGCTGGAGTGTTGAGAGTCAGGGAAGGTACGCCGCGATGAGCGGAGCAGCAAAACCAGGAGCGGATTCGACGTGCTCGCTGGGAATGGAGCGTCCTGAGCGCGCCCTACTGTTATATCTTTTTTTCTTAGGGAAACATTTACATATCTTGAATAAGCATAATTTACCACATATTGGCAATGCACGACAGAATGGAAATTATTTCATCCGTATCCTTGCCACTGTGCTTTTCATATCTCCTGCCTTTCATGAAAATGATGAATATGACATCCTGTCCTGTATGATGGGAATCAGATCGGTGCTTTGCATGCAAATCCACGCAGATCACATCTGCCTGTCATTGAGTTTCAGTTAAATGTGCCTCTGCTTTGTCTTGTGGTTTGTGTGTGTGTCATCTGCAGTGCATCTGTGACGGACAATCACAGATGAAGAAGCATGAAGATTAGCGCTCCCGTGAGGGTGTACACCTGTCAGCAAACTCAGACCAGGATGTGACTTATGTTCCAGATAGCTTTTCCTCACTTTCTGGGGGTGTCAGTGGAGTGATTATCAGCCTGTTCAGCCATGCCTTTTACAACTGCCAGAATCGACAGCAGATTATTAATACACTTCAGAGGGGGGTTTTGTGTCTCTGTTTATCCATTCCTCCACACCCACATACTAGTCAGCAGAATAATAAGTGGAAGCACAGAACGGGACCACTGTCTTACCAGCTAATTATGGGGCTCATGTAGATGGATGGTTCCTCAGATAGAGCTCAGCTATTATACAAACTCATTAAGCCTTCTCTCCATCCAGCATCCCTTGCTAAAGGTCAAAGTCACAGTCAGAATGACAGTACAAAGCGCAGACACATGCACACTCACGCATACATGCAGAAACGCACAACCCCACAGCGATATAGTTCATGATCAAATCCTGACGGGCACTATGAATGTGAGGGACTAAGGAAGGCAGACACACAGCCGCTAAATGGAAGAGAATGACTCAGCCGTGGTCACTTGTGAGGTTGCTCGTAATGATCTCTCTCATTCTGTTAATCTGTTCTGTGTCCTATCAGGCAGAGCAAGCTGGAGTGTGTCTCTTCCAGTCACAGTATGTGCCTTTTTTCTGAAAAAAGCACCCAAGCTTCATGCATTTCAAATGAGGATCAGAGAATACTGTACATATATATATATATATATATATATATATATATATACTCTTTCAGGGAGAGTGTTTAGCTTCAGCTGGTTTTTACAGAAATTATTTGAGTGTGTTTTCTTGCTGTGATGTGTGTTTGCTGAGTCAAGGCAGGGCAAAANGAGGATCAGAGAATTGTGTATATATATATATATATATATATATATATATATATACTCTTTCAGGGAGAGAGTTTAGCTTCAGCTGGTTTTTACAGAAATTATTTGAGTGTGTTTTCTTGCTGTGATGTGTGTTTGCTGAGTCAAGGCAGGGCAAAACCTTTTCTTCCACTGATTCTTCTGGGTCCAGCATCCTGGCCCCTGTGCTCCCTCAATGAGACTACAATAAACAATCACAGCTCTTTGGGGAGTTGGCACATTCAGTTGTTCATCGATTTGTGGTGTTGTAATTAATTTTCTCTCTGTCATTGCCTTGAGTTGGGCTACAATATCCTGAGACTTGAAACAGCTTGTTCTCCTGCAATCAATCACAAAACCAAGACGCAACCACCACTTCTCTTGTATCATCTTGAATTATTCAGAGCAACTGTAAGAGACCGGACTCAATGACCAATTAGTATTAAAGGTCCATATTTTACTCTTTTCTGGTATTTTATTTGAAGTGTTGATATCTATCAAAATATCTGTGGTTTTTACGTACCAAAAACCATCTCAATGTAGTTTTACATCTCCTCTCTCAGGCTTTTCTCTGGAGCTCTAGCAAGAACAGGTCATTTTGTGTCAGTCAACCAATCAGAAGGGAGGCTCTGAGCCTCCCTTCTGATTGGCTGGACTTTTTTTTCGAGTGACGCACAGCCAGGCCAACCACGGATAACAGATTGTAGCCTTCTACTGTAGCTTGGTAAAACTCCCCCCGGATCATCTGGTGGCATCAGGGTGACCGTCTGTGGTGTTGCAATGTCCCGGTCCAATGCAGGAGTGGCCCACTGCCCCTGCCTCCAACTCCCTCTTCCAGTACCCTCTAGGCGGACCAGTGCAGTGCCAGTGTGCGTCGAGGCCAGCCGGGGGAGCGTGTGTGGCTGCAGAATTAAAGATCATTAGGGACATCACAGAGGTGGGTGATCAGGCAACCGAGACAGCCAGAGTGAAAGACTGCATATATGAAATTGCTTTGCCTGGGCTGCAGCTACAGAGACAAAGCAGGTAAACAGCTTATCCCTTTTTCAGAGCTCTGATTCCAGGTGGTTGATATCATACTTTAACTATGAGTAAGCAAGTTTGCAATCCACACACACTGCCATAACAATAGTCTAGTTGTCTGTCCAAGTGTAACTAATAAAACAATGGGATTGATAGAGCAGGAAACTTAGAACAGTAAGATAAACGTAATCCATGACCAGTAGAAGAATAACATCAAAAGGATTAAAAGCTGAAAAGATCATTGGTTAATCCTTAATAGAGACTGCTCTAAAAGCAAAATAAGGCATAGATTGCAGGTAAACACTCTGAGAAACCAAAACCTGCAAGGTTGGTTGGTGGGGGCATGGCGGAGGGTGGTGACTGTATAGTTGTGACATCACAAAGTTATGGAAGTCTGAATGGCTCATTTTAAAAGTCTTATATGTAAGTTTTTCCTGCCACCGAAGGTGATTTCTTGCTGGGTGTGGCTGATAGTGGTGATAACAACGGTCACTTGCCAGGAGCCTCAGCCTTTATGTGTTTACAAGACAAGAGGTCAGAATACGCCCTCTGGTCACTCTACTTCAGCCTCTCATGCTGAACTGAGGGCAGAATGGACGCTACAGTGATTCAATATTGCAAAGTAGACAGGACGGGCTGGGGATAGTTGGTTACCATGCTAACTTCAGAAGAACAGGTGATAGAAATAGAAGCAAAACAAGAGTTAACCTTGGCGTTGCTTTCCACCACTGGAGACAGCTATTGGCGAGTTAAGGAATGAAGTTCGATGCTGAACTTGCAACGTTTCTTCAAGGCTGGTAAGTAAACAGCTGTTTATGCTAATATTGGCTATGTAGCAATGGCAAAGACTTACATATAGCACCTTTAAGGCACAGTTTCTGAATACGGGTTGTGTGCATTACTCCTTGGATTTTTTTAATAGTTTCACAATATTTATGTAGCATCTAGACCTGCTTTATAATCAATAAAGACATGTAAATCTCACTCTCACTACTATATGGGACCTTTAATAAAACATGAGCCTCATTTGTATGTTACAGATTGTTATTGTTTGTGTTCCTGGGTCTTTAAATTGCACAATTACACTCTCAACATATGTAACCTATAAAGACAACTGATTTGCTTGGTCGATAAGCATCGATCCACCATAGGTGTCCAGCATGAAATTAATATTATTTATTGTTTACAAACAACACAGAAGGTCCCTTGAGGAGGATGCAGTGCAGGCTCTGACCGTCTGCATTCCAGCACAGTCGTGTGGAGAGAGAGGGTGTATCAACTTCCATTATGACCACAGCTTCACAGCCTCTTGTTTTGTTTATATCAAATTAAACTGCAATGCTACTCCAGAGAGATATAATTGACCACAGTCTCAGATTAAATGACTGTAAAGATCTTAATAAGCCATCAGCGGATTGCATATTACATTGCAAACCACTTATGAGGATGCAGTCCAATGAGAATGAAATTGAGGTTCAGATTTGCATGCCACAGCATTTTAGCCATTAATTACCATGCAAAATGACTGTATGATGATCAATAGTGTATCAATTTAATTAAATATTATTGATATGGGGTTAGGAAAATTAATTAAGAGCAAACAAAGCTAAACAAATCCAAATCCCAGTGATGTTGGCCTTTATAATTTTATATAGGCCTATATACCCACACCCATACCCATATATAGGTGTAGGTATAGATACATATATATATATATTACAAAAGCCATCACCATCAGAACATTAGTAACACCAACACCTAGGTTTTTATATGGTCTCAATACACTAGTAAAAATGTTATGATTGGGATATGCTAAGCATAACTGTGACTTTGTTTAATTAAATTATTTCACACAAATGTAGATAAAATAGCCCCCGTGTGATCCCACCACATCTTGTGCAGCTGAGTGAAATGAGAGAGAGAGATGGAGAGTTTAAAAAACACAGAGGAAGAAAGTGAAGCAGAGGGGAGGGGGGTTGGAGATAGATGGGGGGATGAAGGAGCCTACTGAGGGTCTCTCATTTCAGCAGCACAGACTGCTGATGAAGCTGAACTTCCAATATCCCACTACTTCAGCTCTGATGATTTCTCAATTTTACAGATATGGCCTCAGAATGTGATTTGATGAAAATGTAAAATGGGATAACCACCACATCATATGAAATGGGCTGCACTTTATTCCTTGACTATAAATCAAAAGCAGACACTCCAAAAATTAAAGTTGATTTTGTGTTTTTGATTCAAAGTACAACTCTTCTGACTCGGAGGAAGAATGGGTGTCCTGTCGTACCCCTGAAAGAAGATTTTCTTTCATGCAGATTCTTTGTAAGTTCAACAGCTTGATGGTTGAAAGAAGCCCTGGCAATGTATGAGTGTAGTGCTCCAAGAGTTGTTTCGAACAGGAATTCAAACAATTTATTCATAGAATGT